GAGAAGCATTTTATCTGCCTGTCCATTCTAAATGAAAGCTTTGCTGGATAGATCAATCTTGGACATAGGTCTTTGGATTCCATGACTTGGAATACTTCTTTCCAGCTCCTTCTTGCCTGCAAAGTCTCTTTTGAAAAATCAGCCAACATTCTGATGGGAACTCCTTTGTAGGTGACTGTCCCCTTATCTCTTGCTGCTTCTAGAATTCTCTCCTTCATTTTAATCTTGGGTAATGTAATTATAATGTGCCTTGGTGTGTTCCTTCTTGGGTCAGGCTTCTCTGGGACTCTCTGAGCTTCCTGGATTTCCTGGAAGTCTATTTCCTTTGCCAGATTGGGGAAGTTTTCCTTAATTACTTGTTCAAATAATTTTTCCACTTGTTGCTGTTCCTCTTCCCCTTCTGGTACCCCTATAATTCGGATGTTGGAACGTTTAGAGATGTCTGCACATTAAATACATTGTGACACATAATCACCGAAAAATCTCATACTGTTTTAAGTAGGTGCGTGACTGTGTGTTGGCTGCTTTCATTGCTGTCATGGGCCACATGTGGCCTGTGGCGGCAGGTTGGACACCCCTGTTAGGACAGAGGTGATACTAGATCCACATTTTCAAAACATTTCACCTGGAAATTTGTCTAGTAATCTCTTGAATTTTTCTTAGTGATCTCCGTTTTTTTCCCTGTGTTCTGGAACTCTATTAATGCATAACAACTCCAAAAACAAACATTTTTACTCTCTCTCTTAATTTTCAAGGTTTGGGCAGGCTGAGCGAGTCTTGTGTTCCATGAGGCAGCAGTGGTGGTGTTTGGCTGGCAGATGGTTTGGAGAGTCTTAGAAAGCTTCATCTGGTGTGTGGTATCGTGGAGGGGATGGCTGGAAAGCTGGCCTCAGTCAAGAGCATCGATCAGGGGCCCTACCCGTGGCTTCCCCAGATGAGAGTCTCAGGGTATCAGACTTTGTACATGGTAACACAGAACTCCAAAAAGAATATTCCAAGAAGTCTTCATGAGCTTCAGGTTTTCTTATAACCTAGTCTTGAATGTCCTAGAACATCACTTCTGCCAAGTGCTGGCTTCTGTTGGTCACCGAGGCCATTCCAGATTCAAAGGAGGGAAAGTGGAACCCATGGCTGTGGGAGGAATAGCTAAGCATTTCCAACCATCTTGAACATACCGCACTGTGTCCAATCGGCCCACATTTATGTAATTCTCTTGCGTAGCTGGGCTGCCCCAACTCTGCCTAACTATGGGTTCTCTACCTGAAGCTTCAGGAAGAGGTGTCATAACATTTTTTTCTGGCTCCTTCTGAGAAACTCATTCCAGGCTGCTGTGTGTGAGTTTACATCTCTCTAGAAATACCACTGGGCAGCAGTCATTCTTTCTGATTGAAAAGCAATGAGAAATCTGTCTGCCTTTTTAAATTTCTTATTTAGATCCATTACATTGTGTGCATCTCTTTAACTCTTTCTCATCCCTTTCTCCTGCTTTTCAATATCTCATTGTCGGGTTTCACATCTGCATAGTCTACCTTTTAAGAAAACATGTGATCATTCAGCCTAGTCGGTTCATTTTGCTTTATTTGTTTCCATTCTTTCAATGGTCTTTTCATGATATAGGATGGAGCACATTTTTGAAACTTACCCAGTTCCTCATTGATTTCCTGAAAAAGCTTGACTTTAGAGACTGTGAGTTTAAAGCTAACACTAAGATAGAATTTGATAAGAAATACCCATGAAGGATAAAGGGGAGGAACAGGAGCAGGGGTAGAAAACTACATTGCAGGTCTGACAGCTGAGAAAGAAAAGGAGCAAGGAAAAAATGAATACAAAGAGACTCAGCATTTTCAAGTCAAAGTCACCTGCTAGAGAAGTCCCCTCTCCCACAGTGATGGGCCTGTGCTGTGGTCAGGCACAGCTGGGAGTAGCACAGGGGGAGTATGGGCTTGGCTGAGAACCCAGCAGCTGGGACTCAGTCAACTGTGCCCCCTGCAGGGGGAGCCCTGGTCACCAGAGGGCAGAGCTCTGGTAGATGCTTATGGGAGGCGGGATGGGGAGCCACTCTCCAATTTGGTGAAAGCTCCTAATGAGACTGGATAAACTCTGCCCTGATACTTGCATCTCTACTGGTTTAACTGAGGTTCCATCCACTTTGAAGGCAAAGAATTCACTAACTTTTAAAAGCAGGAAGTTGGATTCATATGGTTAAGGTCCAACCTCATTAGGTACCACTTGTCAGATTTCTGTGTCTCAGTTTCCTCAATTTGTAATGAAGTTTGGACAGTACTTTTGAGGGCCCTTCCAGCTCTGACATCTGATGATACTTAGGGCTTTGATCATTTCAGAGGAGTCTCTGAGCTTGTCTTTCCAAACTCATACCTGTGAAAAGGATGCTAACCACTCTTTATTGTCAGAGAGCTGATTCAGTGAGTCATGTCTGGGGAGTAATTACTGTAATATGCATATAGATATTAAAATAAATTATTCTCAGAAATAAATTGTCTAATAGTAGCAGTTGATTGCAAAAGACACTGGGTTTGAATTGTTTAATGTAATGCTAATTTGCTTCAAATGCAAACACTAATCAGGAACATTAGGTAATTATCATTTAGGTACAGGACCCCAATATATGAAATCTGCATTTTCATATGAGCATTAGTATCACTTATTTAACTGCTTACCGTAACGACAGGGAAGGATTCTAAGAAATACGCTCATTATAGAGATTTGTGGTGACAAATCTTGATTATTAATTTTACCTTTTGTTGAATATCTTACAAGAGGCATCTATCAAACCCTAGGGGATAATTTTTATATTTAATTTAATTTGATTAAACACACACTTAATCTTACTGTGAAAAATCCTGTGAGTTTGAATAAAGGAGAAAAAAGGGAGAGTCATTTATCTGGAGCCTCAGACCCCCTTAACTTTCATCCTTTTACAAATGGGAAAACTGAGGCCTAAGGAGTCTATCTCGATTGCTCAAAATCACAAAATAATGACTGCTAACAATTTTATTTTTCTTCTCGGTGCTATGTACCTTTAAAAGTCCTATATAGCCCTGGCTGGTGTAGCTCAGTGGATTGAGCGCAGGCCTGTGAACCAAAGGATCGAGGTTCAATTCCCAGTCAGGGCACATGCCTGGGTTGCAGGCCAGTTCCCAGCAGGGGATGCACAAGAGGCAGCCATACACTGACATTTTTCTCCTTCTCTCCTTCCCTTCCACTCTAAAAGATAAATAAATAAAATCTTTAAAAAATGTCCTTTACATGTATTGACGAACTTAATAGGTGGGTACAACCACCATAAGAGACATACACTTATTTGCACCATTTTGCAAACGAGGAAACTGAGGCACACAGGGCTAAGTTACTCACTCCAGGGCACAAAGGTAGAAGTGGCAGAATCAGGTTGGAACCCAGGTGGTTTGGCTCTGAAGTCCATGCTTTTACCATAAAAGACATTTTCTCATCAACACAGTGTTTTTTTTTAAAAAAGGCAAGCTGGGACTAGAACCCGGACCTCCACATTTCAATTTAAGTATCTTTTAAATAATACCAGAGTTAATTAAAAATTAATTCATTTAATATTTCAAAATAAACATTGCAACTGAGAGTGCAAAGGTGGTTGGTCAGACCACCCATCTCTGAAGATCTTACTTTTCCTTTTAAAAGATTTTATTGATTTATTTTTAGAGAGAGGGGAAGGGAAGGAAGAGAGGGAGAGAAATATCAACGTGAAAGAGAAAAACATCGACCCATTGCCCATCACCGTCTTCTTTTAAACGCACCCTGACCATGACTGGGAACCGCACCCACAACCTACCCAAGTTCTCTGACTGGGATTTGAACTGATGACGTATTGCTTTGTGGGACGAGGCCCAACCAACCGAGACACACAGGTCAGGGCAAGATCTTACTCTCTTGCATGTGGCCTCCACAGGCAACTGTCCCTGATCTCCATCTCCATGCCTCTCAGAAATAAGAAGCAGGTAGAAATGAATTATAATCAATGAATAACATTAATTAGCAGGTAGAAATTATTTATAATCAATGAATAACATGCTTCAAAGCAAATGGCTGATTATGAAGTGAAAAGCTTTTCTCAGAAATAAGCTAAACTCTTCTAGGAATAATGTTCTTACCTTCTTTTTTTTTTTTTAAAGATTTTATTTATTTATTTTTAGAGGGAAAGGGAAGGAGAGAAGGAGAGAAGAGAAATATCAGTGTATGGCTGCCTCTTGTGCGTCCCCTGCTGGGAACTGGCCTGCAACCCAGGCATGTGCCCTGACTGGGAATCGAACCTTGATCCTTTGGTTCGCAGGCCCACGCTCAATCCACTGAGCTTTACCTTCCTGATAAATGTTTTCCTGTGCTGTTATTCCCAGGCCTCCCGCCCTCTCACCACTCGCCTTGGATCCCCTTGTGTTGATACTCATGGAGTTTACCCACTTTTTGACAGGACCCCAGGGTTGCTATTTGAGCCTGGCCAGTAACCCAAGTGACCCCTGGCAGTAAGCTACGTAGAGTGCTTCCTTTGACCCGATCCCTTACCCCATTACCCAGCTGGAGTTCCCTGTTGGCTAACACCATCCAAAATCAGAAACTTCTTTGGTCACAGCTGGAGCTGTGTTTTCAACTTGATGGCTGGCTTACTTAACTGATGGTTTCTGTTCTCTTAGGAGTCAGTAGCACAGCAAAATGGTACTTGCTGAGACTGTCAGTGCTGAGAGCCGGTTTTCTGACCCACTGGAGCTGGACATAGTTGTCACTCGTGCCGCAGGGGTTTGAAGAGATCCCATATTCTTGAAATGCAGCTCCGACTCTGTGCTGACTCATGTCTTTCGCAGAGTTAGAACCTCCTCACTCCACAGTTGGATGGTGGATGGGACAGGATTATAGATTCTAGGGGACTCTTATGAGACCCATTGATATGTGTTAAGGAAGTTGAACAGAAGGTACATGGGGGTGAGTAACCACCAAACTTTGCTGTCTTTTCTTAGGCACTCGTGAGGAAAATTGATGCCTCAGACAATATCTACACCACGGAATCCACCACAGGAAACCTGTTTAGCCTGACCCAGGAGGGGGCTCCCCTGTGCCGCATAATAGCCAAGGTGAGCTTCATGGTTTGGGGCCAAAAGTGTCAGGCCTGCGGAGAGTGTGAGTAAGCTAGTTTGGCTCAGGAAGTTGTCCTGGCTGTAGCATTTGCTTGCTGTGTGACCTTGGAAGAGTCACCTCCCCTCCCTGGGCCTTGGAGTCTGTATCTTTAATGGGGCCTGCCGCTCTGATTCCCTCCCTACTTGATGTCTCAGACCCTCTACCATCTTCCTTCACGTAAGAGGTCTGTTATAAATATCAGACCCTTTCTCTCATCTGCACACATCCTACCAAACTCAAAGTGAAAATATACATGGTTGGCTGGACCCCAAAAATCTCTGCAGCCACCCCTACATAAGGGGGAGACACAATGGGAGAGTGGTGGTTTTCAGCAATTACAATGGGAGTTATAACTCATTAGCTTCATGACCAATTTGCCTGTGTACTGGAGATCCAAACATTTAGGGCAAATATAGGCAATTGGTAAACTTAGAACCTCATTAGAGTCTGTTTCATTTTCACTCTTTTACTTGAGAAATGACATCACAGTGGGGACAGAATCAGGGGTCTAACTGAAAGCAAAGTAATGGCCTTCAATAAACTTAACATACCAGTTACAGGAAGATGCTCTAGCCCAATGGTTCCCAGTCCTGACTCTGCCTGGAAAACACAGATCCTTTTGCCCCACCCCTAACTTACTGAGGTCTATGATAAGACTGGGAATCTATACTTTCACAAGCTCCACAGGTGATTCTGAGCCATGTCCAGACTCTCAGAATCACTGATCTAAGCCCTTAAAGAAATCTAGAAGAGTAGGTAACTGCTTATTAACTTGGTCAGGGGAGAATAAATTCCATATAACAGCAATAGCTGACCTCTGAGTATTGCTGTGGATACTGAGGTGGATACTGACCCCAGTATCCGCTGTACTGAATGCCTTGCATACAATATTTCTTTTTAATCATGAAACCACCCTATGAAGTAGGTATCATGTTGTTCCCATCTATAGTTGAAGAAATGGTTTAAAGAACTTGCTTAGGGTCCCACAACTGCTAAAGAGTGGAGTCAGAATTAGAGCTGAAGTTTCTTTGATTTAGAGTTCATAGTCCTAAAGCCCACTCAAGTGGTGACTTCTGGTTCAATCTGAGGCCTTTCAGGTTCTTGCACCAAAGCATGACTCAGAAGTTTTGAACTCTACACATTAGAGTCACTGGGGAGCTTTAAGAATGTTCTGATTCAGATTTAATTGGTCTGGAATAGGCTTGGGGGTGGATATTCTAGCATTCAGCATGAATCTAATGTGCTTCTTGGGTTGAGAACCACTGTTTCTTAGTGATTTAGATGTGATTTTACTTGGCAAGTTTGAGGTGTTGATAGAGCAAAGTGGACAGAGAGAGTAGCATCAGATCTGTCCTCTCCAAGCATTTGGTGACTCAGTCATTCAACCCTGTTGAGAGCATTGATTGACTCTGTAGAGAACTGCTCCAACCTGGGGCTGGAACTGACTGAATGTCAGTTCAATGATTAACTTCAAACAGAAATGAGCTGGTGCTTATTTGGAATGAGGACTGTTTTTTTTCCTTTCAAACTGAGTTGCAAATATTGCCTGGGTTTGGAATCCAGGTATGGATCTGAGGTGTGGAAGGAGCAAGGGAAACTTCTAAAGGGCACTGTGGGGCCTGAAATGATTTTTTGCTTTGGAGGGAGCAGGCCTTAAAAAAATTCTGGGAAGAAAATTTCACTAAAGCTCTTATTCCGTTCTGGGGCCTGGGCACTCTGGGCTCTGTCCCGACGTGCTGTAGAGGCTCCTACTGCCTGTCCACACTTCAGAAAAGCAGACAGGGATCTAAACTGTGATGGCTTTAGTCTCCTCTAGGGACCAGGATTTACCACTGGTCGCATATGATCCCAAACATTTCCAGTCTGAAGAAATCAGGGGAGAAAGGCCTGGGCTGGGACCCGCTTCTCAGCTATTTAACTACCCTCAACCCCAACACCAGTCCTGGGCTCTCAAGAACTGTGACCAGTAGTTGTTTAAAGATTTGGATGGTCCTTTGAGTGTGGACATGAGCCACACCATGCCAGAGCCTTCTCAGGGGAATGCATGAGTCTCATTGAATATTAACAAGAAGAAGAATGACTACTGATCGGTTGCTTTCGGTGTACCAGGCCCTGTGCTGGGCACTACTACACAGTTATCTCTTGCCTACATACATCCCTCTGAGATGTGTATCAGTGACCCTGTTTTATAAAAAAGGACACCAGGCTTCACAGTGGTCAAATACCTGGAGCAGTTGACACTTGAAACCATATTTGTCCAGCTCTGGAGTCAAGGTTTTTTTGTTTGTTTGTTTGTTTGTTTTTCCATTTTACCAGCTCAATTGGCTAAGAAACTTAGAGTACCTCTCTTTCCAGACAAAGCTCCTGCTTCAACAAGTCTGTCTCCCTCTTCAACAGGATTTCTTCTTTCCTTGCTCCTGGTGTGCCTTGGCCACTCCAGGCCTGAGGCTGAGGCTTGGGTTTCCAGTCCTGACAGTGATGGAGGGGTCAGAAGTCCCTGGCACGCCCTGCACAGGAAATGTGCCCAACATTGCAACAAATGTGGGCCACTTCACCTAGTGGCCCTCCGTGCTCACCTCTTTGGGGCCCAGTGTGACCCGTCTTTGGGTCTTACATGCATCTGAGCTGCCTCTGGGAGATGATAATCTGACAGCTCATCTGAGGTCCATCATCTCAGCTTCCCGGGCTCCTCTGCAAGCCAAGGGGCAAACCCAGTCTTCCTTAGGGAGATGGGAGCAAGACCCCCTCCCTTTCTGACTGCAAAGCACAGAAAACTCCCCTGTGCTCTGTGAGAATTACCCTGCAACCCCGCTCCTCTATGATTCTTCCCACCACCAGTCTACACACCCCCCTTCACAGCTTTGATAGCTTATCTCAAGTCTGTCTGAATAATGCATATCATATACAGCTGGGCTCCCAGCCCAGAGCTTTTTATAAAATTAAATAAGCTCCAGCCAACAGCGTGATTCTGCTGGCTCAGGCGATTCCCGGCTCGACGCTAAGAGGAGTGCTGCTCCTGGGTCCTCGATGGGGACTTCCGGGTGGTCCATGCCACGAATCCATCTCACTTCCTCACTGTCTCATTCTCCTCACTGCCCATGTATTCCAATGCCCGAGACACCTTTCATGGGGGTATGAGACACTCTTCCAACCAGGGAGCCTTCCAGAGCTGGTTGCCCAGCTGTCCAGAGCTTGCATATACATGAGCTCAGTTACTCCCCCAAGGCTCAGTAATGTGGGCTGTCGTGACCCCATTTGGGGGACGAAGTTAACCAGTAGCAAAACCGGGATTTGAAGCAGAATCTCCTCAGTCTGAGTTCAGAATTTCCCCCCTTCCTGTCCTGGGAACTAAAAATGCTAAGAAGGCCATTTTTTTTCACAGGCCGGGGAAAGGATGTGATGAGACTCCAATGCAAATGGGTACAGAGGCTTAAATATAGTTCTGCTGGCCTCAGTGCTTCCTGAGCCAAAGGAAGGCTCCGCCACATTGATCCTGGCTTTCAGCCTGTGTCCTTGGCACTGTTTCTTCATGGGCTGTTATGGATGTAAATGATCTGTATCTATATCTTGATCTATCTATAATTTACCTGTAATATCTATCATGTATCTCTATGGATCATATACATACAAAAATAATATTTGCATAATATAGATGATTAAATATAAATACAGACATATAGAGATAAACAAACTATGTAAACATACATATATGAATATTTACATTTGGAGGGAGGTCACTAATGACCAGCAGCTGGGTGTTTCTTTTCTTTTTACTTTGAGGAGCGATTTGATTTTATTCCAGTGACTCTCCGAGTAGGTCTTTATGTGAAACTGTCATTAGATGTCCCGGGAATAGTGGCAAAACAGGAAGGCAGGGGCGATTTTCCCTGTGGAGCAAGGAAATCAGAGAGGAGATGTCTTGTCCCACAGCAGAGCCGATTTTTATTGGAGAGATCGTGTCTGAAATTGGAGTGCCTCCCTTCGACCTTTCTACAGTCCCCCACAGATTATGTCAGGAGTGCCCACTCTGTGTGCCTTTAACCCTGTCCCCCCCACCCCAATTCACTGCATCTTTACCCAAATTTCTTCCTGCTTTAAAAGTTACCTGCCTTCCCTTGACTCATTGTCCGTCAGACGTGAGTTCAGTGTGGGCAGCCACCGAGGCCGCTGCACCAGTGCCCAGCACAGGGTCTGGCACATAACAAACCGTTAATATTTGGGGCTGCCTGAGTGAATTCAGCAGTCCCAAGATATGCCCCTTTCCCACCAGATGAACTACCTTGAAAGGAAGTAGGAATATAAAGGTTAAGGATCATTCTTAGATGATTATAAAGTGTCAGAAATTGTGAACGCCCCCGGAGTTGGACACTCTCATCTGGTCCCTGCAGTGGTGAGCCAGAAGCTCTGAGGATGAAAAGGGCCCCTGAGCCTGTCTTCGTGGGGTGCCGAGCAAGGGATGACAAGGGATGACAAGGGATGGCTCAGCGTGGGATGACTGTGTGGGCAGTCTCCAAAGTTCAAGGTACTTTCGTGAGCAGCTCTCACAAAAGGAAAAGTACAAGCTCAGCCTCAAGAGTCAGGCTGATAGGCCCTGAAGGTTGTTGCTTTTTGTCTTTTGCAAACAGGAGTGAAAGATGAGGAGTGGAGGGGATAAAACAGGGATAATGTGGGTTGGGGTGCATTATGTCACCCATCCGGATTTCACTTTTTTCCATTACAGGATGGGAATACAATATAGTATCGATATAAGTAAAACTCCCTTTCTGCCCGGGTACCTAGGAGGGTCTGAGAAGTAATGGGTGCTGGCTGGCAGAGCAGGAACCAGCACAGGGCATCTAGGCTTCAGTGCCCTTCACCTGCTTCAGACTTATTTCTGGAGCCTATTTCAGGTGACCAGAGGCTTGCTCTGTAGGGGGCGTCTGAGAGGGAGTCACCAGGTGTGTACTGCATGGGGCTGAGCCTGGCCCTGGCACTTCAGCCCCTGAGCCTCTGGGGCCTCCCACCTCCAGCTTGGACTGTCAAGGGTGACATTATTTCTGGAGGCAGCATTTAACTGCAGGGTGTATGTGCACATGGGATTGTATGCGTGTTTGTGAATGTGTATGTGTAGGGGAGGAAAAACTCTGTTATCTACTACCTTCCCAGGCTCTCTGGCTGCAAACCGGACTGACAAGACAGATTAACAAGAGAAAAACAAACAGAAGCTTATTAGCATGGACATGTGGGAACACTCAGAGATGAGTAATTCAAAGAGTTGGTTAGAACCCCGGCTTGTATGGAAGCTTCACGAAGGAATAGTAGATTTTTGGAGAAGTCACAAGACAAAGAAAAAAGACCTCGAGTCTCTGGGGCAGCAAACTGTAGGAAGGCAAATCTATGGGAAACGAATAGGAGCTAAAGGCTCGTGGTGAAGTTCGTCATGTAGGCTCCTGTGATGCCATCTCCGGGCTGGTAAGGGTGTGAGGTTGTTTCTGGTGATTAAGCTTGTCCTTCCCAGTAGAGAGGAGAGGGGGACAACTTTGTAATTTACGTTCTGCTTTCAGGCAAGTAGGAGGATGGCAGGGGGTTTGTCTTGTATCTGCTTCTCCCCCATTGCCTTCAGTTCAACATCATTCTTTTGCCCAAGTGGCATATTTCAGAGTGCCATATTCTGCCACCCTACAGACTCGAAAGTGTGTCTGCTGAGTGAGGGTGTCAATTATTTTTGAATTGGCCTTAGGAGAGGTCTCACAGTGAGGTCATGTGATATTTTCTTTTTCTTGGCAGGAGGGTGGGGTCGTCGCACTCTTCAAGGTCTGCAGGCAGGACAGTTTCCGGTGTCTGTACCCCCAGGCGCTCCGCACGCTGGCCTCCATCTGCTGCGTAGAAGAGGGTGTCCACCAGCTGGAGAAGGTGAGCAGGTACCTGGCTGTGGGGGGCCTGAGGTCCCTGACCCAGATGGCAGAAAAGACCTCTTGGTGGCCATTTGGGCATCTTCACGGAGCGAGTCACCTGAGTCTCTCCTTTTCTGAGGCATCGTCTAGATGGGGCTGCTGGGATTTTGACTGTGGGAGTTGATGAAGTTGTGGAGGGAAAAGGGACTGAGGAGGGTACAAGAGGGCACTCAGCACTTCCTGGGTGGAGTGGCCAACAGCATCCATTCTGTTCCCTGGGTGGAACAGAACTGGAGGCAGGAAGTCAAGTAGGAAGTGATGTCCAGGTTCAGGGTGGTTGATTCTTCTTCACTCATGACAGGCAGGACTCCAGCAGAAAAAGGAGGATCCAGCTTCTCAGGGAACAGAATGGATAAGAGCAGGGTGGGCACTGGGTGCCTTGGGGGGGGGGGTGCTCCACCGAGTCTAGAGACTAGACGGCTTGGGTAAGAGAAAGTGAAGCTGATGTCCAAACACATGCTGGGTGAACATGGCACAGGGTTGAGCGAATTTGGGGTGAAGGTTGTGATTTGATCGGTCCAGGTGCCTCAGCTCCAGACCAACCTAAGGCATTGGGACCAATTCCAGCCATTGCACTCACCTCAGTTACGAGGGTGGAGGCTGCACCCCCACCAGGACCTCAGTGGGTCTGAGCCTGAAGTGGGTCATCAGGGACTGTAGCCAGGGGGGTTGGGGAGGCTAGGACCAACATTTGGGGCAAATTTCAAGAAAAGATGCTAAAAATTTGTATGGAAGAGAGGTAGAAAGTCCTGGTATGTCCTGGTGACAGTTGCGGAGCTTGTTGGGGTTGGGGGTAGGTACCTTGAGTCTGTTCCTGTGACTGGTCTAAATGGGGGTGGGGCAAGGAAACTGCTCCCCTTTCTCTGCATCATGTCCCACTGTCTGGTTCAGGCTGTCCAGAAAACCCTCACTGTCCTCCAGCTTCTACACTTTGGTCTGGACTCATAGATCACTCTGCTTCTTTCCAAATGTACTTAGATTATGGGACAGGGTCACAGGATCGTGGACTCGAGAGATGCTCTTAGCTGAGGATGGAGGATGGATGGGGAATTGCTCAGTTATAGATGAGAAGGCTGCGGCTCAGGATGGGGAAGTAATTTGTCTGTGGTCACATAGCAAGGTGGGGAGGAGAGAGTGCCAGCCCTCTGGACAGAGTGCCCCTCCCCGTGGGGTCAGAAGCCTGAATGTGTGTGCTGCTTAGAGAGCCAAGTGGAGCCGGGGTGTTGGTGAGAGAGGCAGATGGAGTCCACAGGGAGAATGCATCAAGAATCCCCAGCTTCACATGTTGTATATTCTTCTCTTCTGTTTTAAGGTCTTACCTTGGACGGTAGAAACATGACCTAATGGGGTCCTTGTCTCATCTTTGTTCATGTTGGTTGGCTGGATGAGAGGAGCAAATAAAAGTGACTAGACTTAATTGTCCCCAAAAAGCAGTGCATCTCTTGGCTGTAAAAGTTTGTGAAGCAGCAAGAAATTTTCAGTTTGGTGAAAAAAAAAACAAAAACAGCAGGGGTCTGTGTTTAGAGTTGAAAACCTGTACGAGAAGGCTAGAAGCTGGAGGCAGTTTTTTTCATACTAACTCCCTGATGCTGCTCCAAAGCCAGAATGTGTCTTTACCAGGCCAGATGGGCCTCCTGGCTTGGGAGTCAGATCCTGCTCTGCAGAGCAAGAGGTGAAACTGAGTCTCAGTCGGCTTAAGTGACTTGCCTAAAATCACACAGTAAGTTTTGGAGAGTTGGGACCTGGTCGGCCTGAGTCTAATGCCCAGTCTACCTCACAGCCTCACTGGTTTGATGTTCTCAGAGCATCGAGAAAGTCTCTGTAACAAAACTCTGGACCACTTTGATGCTCCTGGCCAGTGTCCTAGCCCCCCCCATTCCACCCCCAACTGAAGAAGGTATCCCTATCTGGGCATACCCCTCTCCAGGGCAGATTTCTTTCCATACACAGGCAACTCTCATTCCCACACCAGACCTGGCAGAGGAACATTTCATTTCAGGAGTGTCCAGAAGTGAGAGTTGCCTGAGAAGAGCCCCCATGTGGTCAGAAACGGCAACTACACTGTGCAGCACCTATAGAGCTTAAGTGGCCCCACAAGCATTCTCCTTTCATTTGATGTTTTCCTCAGCGTGCAAACGTCCCCATGGCACCAGTGAAGAAACCAAAGCCAAAAGGGGTTCACTGACTTGTTGCACAAAATTGCACAGCTTGTAATTTGTTCTTTCAGCAACTATTTATTGACTATCTGCTTTTTGCCAGGCACTGTTTTAGGCACTGGGAGTATAGCAGCAAACAAAGCAGACAAAACCCCTTGTCCTCATAGAACTTACATTCTAGTGCAGGGCGTGGCAGCTGAGGGATGTGGGCCAAAGTTAACTTGCTGCCTTTTCTGGAACATATGACCTATGAGCTGAGAACATCTATATTTTCACCTTTATATGGTTGAAAAAAATCAGAAGCAGGGTTTTGTGTCACATGAAAATTATGTGACATTCAAATTTTAGAGCCATCAAGTTTTATTGGAACACAGCCATGGTCAGTTCTCTGGGTGCTGTCTGTGTCGGCATTCACACCACGACAGAACTGAGTAATCACAACAGGCCATGTGGCCTGCAAGGGTAAAAAAAACAAAAACAAAAAAACACTGCTGTCTGGCACTGTGTAGAGAATGTTTGTTGTCCCCTGTTTTATCAGGTAATAAGGGTAACATGACAGTAATGAAAAGAACAATAACCAGCTTACATGGAATGCTTGCTTTGGGCAAGCACTTTGCTGGGTCCCTCCTTCCACTGTGTCATTTAATTGTTGATCCATTGGTGCTATTAGAGGAAGGAGACTCAGACAACTAAGCAGCTTGCTGAAGAACATACAGCTGATAATGGCCAGGCAGTAACTGAATTCCAGCTCTGCTGAGCCAGAGCCATCCTGGGCCGTGACCCGCTGTGTGGATAAGACCCAGATCCAATATTGTGAAGCCAATGTCCCCTGCATCGCGGTGCTTTCCAAAACTGTGAAGTTCTAGAGACACCCGGGAAGAGCCTGGGTTTCCCCTGTCCTCTGCCTCTGTCTCCGCCCAGGGACCTGCCAATACCCGTCCCCCTCTGGGACCTGGGTGGCTGAGTGCTGGCCTCAGAGGTTCCAGTGAGGGTGGCTATTGTCAGTGCTTAGGGCGAAAGGTAAAGTCCAGGGACAGGCTGGGTGGTAGAAAGCACAGCAGGACAGGGGGGCGAAGGCAGGGTGGGGGTCGGGGTGCCCAGGGGCTCTTGCCAGCACCCCCCCCACCAGGCAGTTTGTGCCCTAATGAGCTCCTTTCAAAGTTCTAGCCTTCCTGTGATTTACTGGCTTGGCCTCCTCAATGAAGCTCGATTAATTAATTGGCAGTGAGAAATTGTGCTGAATTTGGTGAAATTCATCTCTGTCGTACAGCTCACCGCTCACCACCCCCCAAACTTAAAGAGGTTCATTAAATCATGCACAGATGTTGGCGGCAGTGATGTGGGTCTAGTCGGGTCACCAGAATCCCATCCATTCCTGGGCCTGCTGCACGGTGTCTGAGCTCTGCTGGGTTTGGGGTAGATTCTGTTATTCCATGCATTCACATCAAGTCACGTAGTCATCTGCTTCTTCATTCCTTGCATCATCTGGCCAGTTACTTCCAACTCTCTCACTGACTTGCTCACTCACTTACCCAGTCCCCACCTAATCACGCTACTAATTCATTCTTTCATTGCACTTTGACTGTGAAGCAGCCGATGCAGCAGGGAAACCAAGGCCTCCGGGAGTCCTGGGCCCAGCTACTGAAATGGCAGAGACTCTGGGCAGGAGGGAGCAGGTGCAAGGGTGGGGGGTGGGGAGGTTCCGATGTTCCAGTGCCTGCTCCCTGTAGGTTGCAAATGGGCAGAAATAGGTAATATTTGAAAAACAAAGTTAACTAATTTTTTCTTATCATTTTGCTTATTTGACTCTCACAATCATTTTCAAGGAAGACAGGGAGAGATGGATAACCATTTCTCCTTTTTACAGGAGGGGATGTTGAGGCTGGAAGGCATAGGGACACTGGGAGAGGCAGAGCCTGGGATGGGAACTGCATGCTTTTGCTCCCAGACAGAAGTACAGTTTGCTACAACTCCCCCCTCCCAGCTGAAAGAGGCATAGTGTGAAGACGCAAGGCAAGACAACTATTTCATCTTGACTGAGTCGGTTCTAACATGTAAGTGAGTCTGGGTAGGGAGATGAGCTGTGAATGCCAGGCAAGAAACACTTGTAGCCCCTCCTTTACCTTGGAGTGGGAGGGAGGGAGAAAAAGAATGCTTCTGAATGGAGATCCCAGATGACTCCACATCTCTCTTTGGGCCTTTACTCAGGTAGGCTTATCACTTCTTCCACCTCGCACACCCCATGGCACAGGCTTTCAGTGGCCCCGGGGAATGGGCTAGAACTGGGCAGAGAACCTCAGGGTGCCAGGTCAGCTCTCTGTGCTGTGACTGGCCATCAGGCAGATTGGATTGGGGACTGCCACTGTCACCTTCCCCAGCTCTGCAAATGGGCTTCCCTATTGCCTAGTCCATCTTTCCTGTTTGTGGGAGGTGGGGGGGTGGCGATTTGGGGGGGGGGGCATGAAGAAGGCCGGGCAGGATGTGAAGAATTAAGAACAAAATTAGGCACACTGCCCCATCTTCCCCTCCTTCCCTGCCTGTAATGCAACCATTCATGCTGAGATTACCAGCCAGTATTGTCCAGACTGAAGGAAGGCCCAGCTGTCTCAAGTGCTGCAGCTCAAGTGCAAGGTGCAACCTAAGTCTGGAAACGGCTTGGGGCCACCTGGCGGCCTGAGTCCTTAGTTGTAGCAGTAGACGAAGGCTCTTTGGCTGTCCAGACGCACTGTACAACAGCGGCCTCTGGTGGTTAGAAGTGGCAGTAGCAGCCCTGCCAAGATGCTTGGGGGCTGTTTGCTCCTGG